GACACATGCTAAAATGACATTTTAAAAGCAGCCCAGTGTAAGGTTTGGGAAGCAAGTCAGGACAACGCTTTGGGAAAATAACATCAGTCTGTAAGCAAGCCATTGCCATTTTCACCATATACCAGTGCTTCTCAATGAGTGAAAATCCAAGAGGTAACACATCCACTGGCATTTACTGAAACATTCCCCTTTCTGGTAATATCACAAGAAAAAAGCAAAACAAAATAATGTAGCACGGTTAGCCTTATGATGTCAGGAGTGGGGCCATATGTCATCTTAGGAAGAACAGCCAGTCAGTAATTGCACCCTGTCTATTATTTTTGTTTAAAATTATTTAAACTCATTCCCTACAGACAGCAGTCTTCACAACAGATTGTTACTACTTTGTTATTTTCTAGATGTTTTTATTCTTCAAACCTGCAATATAGTGATGAGATTTTCACCCAAGACAAATTTTCATGATTCTGTTCCCTGATTTTACATTCTGGACATGAGATAGTTACTGTCAGTTGTGAACATGAATCTTGTAGAGATGAGCAGTTAGTCACCTGGTGAATGGCTGGACTGATGGAGTAATGTGTAAAAAGTCAAAAGTCTGGTGTACAGTTTGCTGCAGAAATTTGTTTCTTCATCTGAACCTTTCAGAACCTTCTATAATTTCTTGTAATGATAAAATGGTGAATTTTTGCTTCTTTCTTTTTTGGCGGAAGTCTTTATGATTTTCTATACTTGTATGTTATGAAGTATTTTATGCAGTGAGTTATTTTTTAATACCTCAAACTGCATATTTGCTGTATTTTCTAATTTAGCCATGGTAAAATTACTTAACTTGTTAGAAATTTCCTGCCTGCAAGTGACTTTTTATTTACTGTCTGATTGTACTAATGTTAGAATTCAGTTCTGACTATGCTTAAGAATCTCAGTGTTCTAATTTGCAACCAGAAAACAGCCTAAGTTTTAAAAAGAGTTATGTAAAGATGGGTCATACTTGGGATACACAGTACAAAGCATTCTCAAAGAAGCAGGGTGTTTGGAAGGTATTGTCCCTTAGGAATTTTCCATCCTCTTCAAATCAAGCATAAGACACTAACTTTTGAAAATTAAACCAATGGTCCCAATTGCAGCTGGAGGCAGACTTCCCAAAAATTTCACAAAGAGCTTGTACTTGTGAGGTTTTTTTTTTGCTGGACACTACAGGATTAGTATATTCTGTCTCCTAATAAGCATCTGAGCATTATAACTTTTTCCAAAGTAAGGTATGAATTCCAAGGGTTTTTTTTTTTATCTTCATATTAGGGGATTTAAAGATGAGACTGCAAGGAAAAAAAATGTATAATGCATAAATAGTTACTTTTGGAGCAGATATGTCATCATTGCTGGAGTCCTATTTTAATGTAGTGTAGTGGCATTTTATTTTGTGCAATGTGATTGTATGGTGTTGATTCAATCCCTGTGTCCGCTTGAGTTTGACGCTAATCGGCTGTAATAGCATAATTTACAGATGATTACTGAGAAATCCTCTACTGGTCTAGCAAAGACCTTCTGCATTTCTGGGCTCTGTAGTATCAGGCCATCATTCTTGTGGTCCTCAGTCTTTCACAATCACATTAGTTTGGCAAATGCCCAAAAACATATTTAGTCATGAGCTCATTACTGATATAACAGGCAACACAGGGCATGAAACACAATGCTGCCCGCAGCATTCCTCAGTAATATGTTCTGGAATGCTTATCTTAGATTCCAACTTGTTATTACTTTGCACACTTAAATAAATGGACTTGTCAACAAATAACATTCAGGAGCAACAGGCAACGTTTCATTCAAGTTATGTCATTGCCCTTCAGATTTCATCATCCATATGTGAAATGCATTTTGTTCTTGGGAAATAAGAAACATGGGGAAAAAACAATGAATTTCTATTAGCGTTTGGCAGTAATTCATGTATTTGATGAGTAAAGGAGACAGTGATACCAATCTAACACAGCAGCATTATGGTAGCCAAGACCAGTAGCTTCTATTCCATATATTACCAGTGAGTCAGTGTTTCATTTATCCAAACTGCAGCTTGCCACCAAGAGAATCCTTCGGCCCCAGTTTCAGTGCAAGACCAGCAAGCGGTGGCCATCCAGAATTTCAGAGGCAGAATTTAAAAAGCAGTCATAAAAATTATGCTTATGATGTCTCTGTGCTTCCTTACATCCTTTTGCAAATTGTAGAGAAGAAAATCTTCATTTTTGTAATAATTTTGGGACCTGCTTTATTCCAAGTTACTGGAGTGCATGTCAGTAATAAGGACCAATATGCTCTTCTCTTAGAGGGATAATTTCCTTTTTCCTATGATTTAGAGAACTTAAAGATTTTGGTGAGATTAAGAGTCTGAGATTTAATATTTTATGCTTTAGGAAGAACTATTTCAGTCATAGGATCTGTGTGTGTGGGAAGAGCGTGGGAAGGGGTGTGTGCATAGCTGAGGGCCTTCTGAAAAGAGCAAGAGCAGTTCTTTCTTGGTTTACGCTATATTAAAAATACAGTGTGGTTTTAGGTTTTCCTTTTAAAATACATATTAGTACTTCTACTCTGGGCACTGGGAAAGGCACGTAGAAGGCATTGGTACAATCAAAGAGAAGGCGTAAGTGGGCAGTAGATAAGGCAGAGGCAGTATTGCTGATCATGAGTGATGTGGAGTATCATCAGTTATAAGACAAACCTATAAAATGGGCAATCTGTGAGCTATCCCTCTTTTTCTCTCACTAGATGTTACCTACAAGTGCAAAAAATATTAGCAGCAAGAACTATTCTTATACTCTTATTCTCTGTCTATCCAGATAGATGCTATATCCTGATACATGCAAATACACTCTTCCAAAGTAAAAGACAGTGTAATTAAATATTTTATTGTTAGTATGGTGCTATTGCTACTCAGCAAGGCAATCACTTTCTTTGTCTTGTATTTTAAGTGTTCCTGCATGGCTATACTTACCTTACTTGAGACTTTGCTTCCAGGTGATAGCAATTTTCCACTGAATCTCTTTTTATGGCCAGTCCGCTGCTGAAAGGAAGATTGATATTTTCAGCTATGCTGGGTATTTCCCATTGTAACAGCCTACTGTTTCCATAGAAATCCTTCAAAGTGCTTTAATAGGACATTATTTAAAAAGGAGTTTTGTTGACACATTTATTCTGCCAGGTTATTAACAACTTGATTAATGTCTCCTCAATATTCACTTCTTTTAAAAAACAAATGCAAAAATGTAGAAAACATACATGCTGCTGCCATAGCACTTTCACTGTCTGTTTCCAGGACCCTTGAATTTGTTTCTCATTTCTCTGTTTTTCCTCCCCATCACCCCTCAACCCTATCATCATTTTGTCCCTGAAAGCCCTTTCCTACATAAAATTAACACTAGAAAATCTACAGTGATGACAAAACCCCCTTAAATCAGACACTGAGCATTTTATGATTCATCAGAAACTCTCTATGCCTCTGAATCAAGTTGCTTACTAAATGGTGGCTGCATCATGGGCAGAGCAAGATGTGAGTAACCCATGCCACGCATTGGAGCTTTTGGAGCCTGTTGGAGATACCCACATTGAGCTGAATACATTTTGTTTTAAGGGGGTGTTGGTTTAAATGTTGGATGATTCACTGCCTCCTGCTGTCTCCTGCAGTGTGGGCATAATAGTCGCACATTTGAATGCAATGCTTTTTAATTGCTTTCATTAAATGTCCATCCTCCTCATCTATGCCACAGCATGATGCCAGTTACCTTGGGAAACGTTCCAGCTACTTTGTTCCACACTCACCCCTTATCAGGCTCCAAAGTTGTATTTCAAAATTCCTAGGAGTCATAATTCTAGGTTTCAGCATAGTTGTTATTCCTGCTAGGTATTATTACATATAGCCATGTGAATCCTTCTCATGCCTCTCCTGCATTTCCTCTATTTACATTAAAATAAGAATTAGCTGTCTCTAGTTTTTAAGTATGAACAGAAATAGATAATGCTGGCAATTACACATATTAATTTGTTTTTTTAATTAGATGCTCTGACATCTGGAAATGAGGTTTTGATGAGTCTGATGATGATCAATAGACTTTTTATGTGATCAGCTGACCTATTCATTTATGACAGCAATGGAATTATTATGAGCCTAAGTGCTTGCTCATGAACCTGAAGGATGATTGGAGTTTTAGCACAGAGTGAGTTCCCATTTTTTGTACCCATTATGTAATTATAAAGATTTCAAGCTAGTAACCTGCTAAGCAGAAATCCCTTAATCTGTCAGGGCCTATAATACCCTCAGCCAGTAAAGCAAGAATAGGCTCCTTAACTAAGCATCTACCTGTTTATTCATCTTAAAATGTTTTTCTCATTTCTTACTGCCTCCAATTATTCTGTATTTTACACATTTTAAGATAAGTTTCTGGGTGTTTCAGTATGTGTCTGTTCAGATGTCTCCTCTAAGTATTTGCAAATGTCTCAGACAGAAGGATTTATCTAAAATGGAACTAGATGGATGTACTTAAGCGCCTGAATCTCATCCCATACTACTTTTTAGTCAACATTTGCCTCACTAAACACTCTATAAATCAGATAAATATAGGGCTCCTTAAGTGCATCTTCAAATGACTTGTGGTAGGTAGTAAGCTACCTCTGCTACTTGGATTCCATTTCCATTGGAGTGAGAGACCCTTTTTATAGCTTGAATGTCACTGGATCACACTTCTTTGACTGTCCTGTGTTTTCAATGTTATCAGAATGAATTGGTGTGATTTGAGCATATACCCTTCTGTCTGTGGAGATTGGCTTCTGCCTATCAGTTGCTAAATTCTGTTCAGTGTACGTCAGAGACCAAAACTGCATCTGACACCCATGATGAGGAGTGTTCTGTGCATGTCCTTGGAAAGACAGGATTTTAATTTCTTACTGTCACTTGAGTAAAGTGTCACTATTGCCAGGGGACTTCCATAAGAGTAACAAGCCTACCAGATACCGCGTAATCACTCTCTAAACAACAACTTCGTGGCACTCATTTGGGATTTTCTCCATGTCTTACTTTGAAGGCTCAGCAGCAGTGATTAAATATGTGGACTACTGCTTAGCTACAGGTAAATGAAACAATTTATGAGGAAACTAAGTGAGAGAAAGCCTAAAAGCTTAGAGGAAAATTAAGGGTGTAACATCAGTGGAGAGCACTGACAGCAGATGCAGGTCTGAAGAAAGGCCAATCTGTTGTGGTTTCTTAGCAAACCAGGCTAGCAGATTTATGTAGCCATTATGTTTAGAAAACCAGGGAACAAATAAGTAGGTGAAGGACAAGATATTGCACCTCCATTCCTATTAAAGCAATTTTGCCCATTTAAATATTAAGCAATACAATCTTGTCATATACATGAACCCAAGCATAATTCCTTTTAAAGCTCTGATATCATAAACAAATGCTCAATGAATTGCAGCAAGTGAACAGTATTGTAATATGTAGTGGTTGTAAGAGCTTGCAGAAACTGCCTTAGGGTCTTCTGTGTTGTCTTACAGTTATGCTGCTGCTAAAATTCTTTATTTAGGGGATAGAAACAGCTCATTAAATTAAATGCAGCTTCTTAAAGATGTGACAGAACATAATGAAGTTAATAGTGATTTGGATTAAGGAAATTTTGATACTGATATTTTTGCTCTGACTGTTGGCATATATTGAATGACTGGATAATTTCTTTGCAATGAATAATGGATAATTTTGTCTAGCATACTGTAACATTATGCAAATTCATCACGCACAGCAGCAGTACAAACTTTGCTTTTCCTTCTTGTTACATCTGGCCTGTGCTAAAATAAGAAAGATTGATTTCAAAGAGGAGCAGGACTGTCCAGTGTTACTGGGGATTGTAACAGCTTTGCAATTAAGGCCATGTTTAAATACAGAAGTAGTATGATTTTTTTTGTCAGGTTTTCTGCATTCAGATCAGCATGGCATTCAAGCTTTGCCTGCCTTTTATTATTTAAGCAAAATTAAGGTCATGTTTAGCACCAGTACACAGATTGTTTCAGCTGAATGACAAGCACAGTGTTAGTTAAAGCCTAATATCTCCTAACACAGCCTGTGAATCTCAACATGCCATGGATTTTGCTATGCCTTGATTCATATTGCTGCAGAACGTACAAGAAGTATAATGCTTACCAGTGGCATCATTATTGAAAAGTGTTTTTAAATTGGTGAAAACGCACAATAGCAGTGTGGAGGATTGTGAATTACACAAAAATATTGGGAGTGGAGAGCATATTGATTTATTTTTGTTGCCTGGGGAAAGATGATTTTGCACAATTTCAAATGAACTATCCAGAATTGAATAAAAAGAAAAAAGCTTATCCCCAAAAAGCCTTCACATGAAAGCTGTAATTCAGAAGCTCTGAGGAATGTCAGTAGTGAGTATACTGTGAAAGTGTAAAATTTTCAGGCCTCTTCTCTCCTATTCACACTGTGGGAACTCAAGCTTAGCGGAAGCTGTTCCCCACAGAAAGGGAGAAAAATGGATCTAGCCGCTTACTGGGATAATTAGATCCTTTCCTACACTACTTCATGGACTTTCACATTTGACTGACCACATAAATGTTTCACCAAATATATAAAAATGGCTTTGTAAATTTGATGGTTAGATAAACCCTGCTGACTTTAAGCTAAAAGCAGGATGTGCATTTTCATATGCGATTGTAACAAAGTTCTCTGAGGGTCTCACTTGGAACAACTGCTTTCTGGAGTGTACACCACCCTGCCACAGAAATCCAAGTATGGACTGGAAGTGCAGCATCTTCAAGTACAGACAAATAGGCATGTTAAGTATTTCTGCTTTGTACAATCCTGAAGATGCTTATGCTACAGCTCTATTAGCTGAATTGCAATCTCAGCAACTAGGAGGTGTATAGAAAAGAAAACATCTGGAGGAAAGAGGAAAGAAGAGAAGAGAGAAGAATATGGGATCTGGGTAACTGTACTATTTTCTGAAGGAAGGGATAGTTGTGTTTGCCCAGAACAGACAGCTAGACCTGTCCTTGTGCTGCCACTGTTTTCTTCGAGAATAGTCAGTTACTGCCAAGGATTTACTGGGTAGTCAAGGGCCAAGGTTCTGGCTGCCAGGAACTAAGTGGAAGGAAAAGGTTTGAAAATTGACTAGTAAACTTTGTTTGTGAAAGATGAAATAAATGAGAGCTGAATTGAATTGAATTTTAAGCCCTCCAGCCTCTCTGGGAATTACATGTGTCTCCTCCTACACAGTGCAGTGCTAAAAAGGCTTCTGGAGGGGGGGGAAAGGCTGTCTCTTCAAAGTTTCCTCTTACATCCCCTCAAGGGATTTATTGATTTTGGATGCTGTTTCTCACTCAGTGTGTGTAATCCCACTCTTCAGCTTAGCTCTGTACTTTACTCAATAGGATTCAGTTCTTGTCAAGCCTTGTGCACTACAATGGGCCAAGCCTGTCTTAGGAACCTTTTCTCTTGTGTTGAATCACAGGCTCTATGTAAGCCTCAAAAGAGCACAGGAACTCTTTGGCTATGGCCTTTTAGGACAGCAATCCAGTTTCATACTCCTGTTACCTTATCTCTTTCCTTCTGAGATGCCTATAAAGTAATTGCTGTAAGGAGGATAACATGGTATAAAGAGCAGCAAAAGGTACAGCAGATTATATTCTTCACATTTATTGTCAGTTGTGGCAGATGCATTAGCTTTCTGTACAATGTGTTTTACTTGCACCTCCATTTTTTTTTGCTTTGCTTGCCCTGGAATGTCTGATTTATGTGTTTTTAAACATTTGGTGTAAACAAATGACTACATGAGACTTTTTGCAGTACTTGTGAAACCCCTCCCAAGTCCATCTGTCCTTTGCAGTTGTTCCTAGCCACAGAAAGGGGTGTGTACATGTGCTTGTGTGTGTATATGTAACCATATATCTATAGCTTAATAATAATCAAACCTATAATTTTTCCATTAAATAATATTGAAAAACACTCAATTTCAAATATATCACGATTTCAATACAGGATTGCTTTTTAACAATCTCACTAAAAATTAAAAATAAAAAAAGAAGGTATCATGCAAAGTTGCACAGTGTGCTGAAGAAATCTGAACAGGAAAGCACTGCTTTTTGAATTGAGTTAGTTATGAGAAGAAAAGGGAAATAAACAAGGACTGAAAATGGGAAGTACCTCCTTTTTCTTTTGCAGTAATTTTGATGTCAGAATTTCTTCTTAATGTCCTGTTCTCATCCTCCTCCTCCAGATGTACCCCCACCCTAGCAATAGCACATAAAGGAAAGTTTTTAGTTATATATAAATCAGAAAGTGAGCAAACTTCTCTTTATAGTGTGGCAGTTAGATGTGTTTGGAAAACTGAAAATTTTTCATTCAGATGTTTCCTGGTCCCCTTGTTAAATCCATAATATAAATAGCAAAGCCTCTCCCATATTTCAAATATTTAAATCAGAGAGTTGCAACTGTGCTGAAATGTTATATTGAAAACACAGGCCATTTTCCCCCTGAAATTTTACTGCCGATGAAAAGTATTGCCACTTTTTTTCATCAGACCTAATGCCTTTTCATTTAAAATTGAATGAACAGTATATTAATGACTATTTGATGGATTGTTAAACATTATTTAATAGGTTACTTCAGCTGGTCAAGATTTTGAAGTTTTAGGGTCTTTGTGTTCATGCGTGTGTCTGCTTTTTTTAGTAAGAAGATTAAAAACTCCTGTTGAGGCCATGCACTAATACAACTAATGGCAATCTGGGGATAAGACCTGAGCATCATTTAAATTATTACACATTTTTTATTGTTGTGGTTGAGACAACATGTCTAAATAAATTCTTCCACCACTAATCTATGCTGGTGTTTAATGTCATTCTGTGAGTCTGTGGTATTCCTGGTTCTTTATCATCTAAGGAGTGCCATTTCAGTACTTGTATATGAACTCATGTGCAGTTTTATTTTCAGTATGTTCAAAGATGTGATGTGCAAGGGCTATGTGAGCCCCAGATATGGACAATAATTTAGTTTAGCTCCGCTGAAGTTTTATAATATATTTGTGGAAGGAGTTTCTTGATATTTCTTTATATCTGAATAGCATGCAATGAACTACAGTCAGCTTCCCCTCCAGATAAATGATGAAAGTGCAAATAACAATTTTGGAAGTTGTTTTAATCAAGCAATTAAAATATCCGCTGTTTTCAATTCTGTTCTTATTGTGATTTTAATGGTAATACTTCTTGTTTCAGTTTTCCTTCCATAATGCTATAATTGAATGAAGCTTGGAAATGCAGAGAGAGAAAGACAAGAGTTATATAAATAACTAAAGAAGTGAGGAGAGAAAAGGGAAAGAACACTTTAAAGAATCGAAAGGGAAAAGGAATCTATGTGCAATTTGATTTTTAAGGTGAGGTATTCATCTGTTCTTAATTTATCCACACTAATACAATTTCCCTATCCAGCTCATCATCTCCTGATGAATAATGCATGGATAAATATTGCTACCTGTTAATACAGAAGTAGTTTATAATTCCCCAGAAAGGTTTTATTAATAGTACAGTGTTAACCACCTTGGTCTGAGTCATAACTAATTGTTAATGTATATGTGTGGAACCCAAGGAAATGAAGACAAGAGGAGGCAGAAGACAGGAAAAAAATCCAACTCTGGAGTCCATGGTATTAAAAGAATAAGTTCTTTTTTGTCTGAGCAGGCAGCTGGTAATACTTATTAATGTCTTTCTTTAAAATGGTCTTTCAGATGATTAAGTTAGAAATCTTCACTGTGCTCTAGCTATTAACAGAAACCACCTGAAGTCCAATGGAAATAGAGTTATAATATCCAGAAGCCTCTGTAATGGCATGCTAAGTTTTCCACTGAATGGTTTAAGCCCTCGTATTCCATTCTCACTTTTAAAAGATACCATTAAGGAGGGGTTGAGAGCATGTTTGACATCCATTTGTTGCTTCACAACCTATTAAAAAGAATTATATCACTTAGCTTAAAAAATAAATCTAATTAGTAACGCTTAGTTACATTATGCACATACTCCACTAACCTTGTGCTTCACAATGTCTCCAAAACCTCCCATTGAAAGGTGGCACAGCAGATCACTAACAGGACCAGAAGTGAAACCTCAATGTGCAAACTATTATTTCAAGTTCCTCTGTTCCTTCATCATTGTGCAAACTTTGTAGAAGATCTAGTCCAAGAGAGGTCTGGCAACAAAACAATTCTCTGAGTACAGTTGAATGGATTGGACAGGAGAGAAATCCTGGTAAACAGTAAAAACCCTAGTAAATAAATATAAATTTAATGCTCTGAACTCCTCTGAACCCTGACAATGACAATTCATTCCCAAGGAATACTTATCTGTCATTCCACCCACTGCTGTGCTATAGCTGACACTGAAAACATATTAGGAAAGTGTATGTAATGTTCAAGGCATCTTCAGACTCTTTCAGATCTGGAAAATCCAGACTGGTTGCTCAACCACCTTTTCTACCAAAACACCAGCTGGAGAGAAGCTCCTAATTATTTGGAACTCAGTGTGCTAGTATGAGCTTGAACAGATGAAGACTAGATGGAGCCAAATTGCCCTTTCACACCACCTTTACACTGGTATAATATCACCAATTTAAACACCATTAAGTGACAGATGAGTGGGTCTGCATATCTACATATAGTGTGTGGAGGAAAATGAAAACTTTTACTCTTAAATGATCTTAGGAACAGTTGTGGGCAGAGGAGGGAAGAGGAAGCAAAAAATATAAAGTGGTCAAAAAAGCAATTTAACAATTCACAGGGGAGGAGAAAGGCAGTTCACGAGGGGAACAGAATTCCCATGTTGAGAGACCTCTGTGCATGGTGTGCATTTCTTACCGTCATACCTGCAGTATGCAGCAAACACTGAAAAATGCCATGAGTATTTGTGACTGGAGATTTTTCATTCCTGTGCCGTGGAATGTCCAGGTTAAGCTGCATGAGCACTAGACATGCATACCGTAAGTAATAACAGTTTGTTCAGGAAGCTGCAGAGGTTTTGGCAACTTCTTCAAAATTAGCACAGATACTTGGACATTTACAGGATCATTTTGTTCCCTGTGAGAACAACATTTCACCCTGTTATCACTTGATGTAAATTGATTCTTTCAAGAATTTCCATTGAATCTATTTAAGGAAATAGGAATTTAGAAAATAAATCTTTCATGACTTGTAATACTGCTGGTTTCACTTTTCCTTTAGCCCACTCTAGAATGTAATTGGCTGGATTTTATTACTTGACTATTGAGACTAATATAGCTCTAGGCAAATCTCAGGCACAGAATATGTATGGCATCCCTGAGCCACTGATAATAACATTGTTAACATGTTAACATTGTTATCAGTTTTTATATTTTGTAGCAAGAAAAGCTAACAGAGTCAAACCACTTCATTAGAAGAACACAACTGTGAGTCTCTGAAGTATAAATTAAATCTCTTGCTGCCTTTGTCTCTCCAAGCTAAGAAATGGCTAAGCCATTTCTTTACACTGCAGGGTAGCATTACTCTTTGGAAGATCTCCAGCAGATGCTGCAATAAGTCCTTTAGGGGCAGCTTTCCACAGTTCATGCTTCTTTCCTCTTAGTGGCATGGAGTCAGAAGGGGGGACCATGAACAGGTAAAGTTTAGTTATCCTCCATTAAAGAGCCTTGAAGATCCCTGAGTAGTTCTCTGTCCTCTAAGACACCCAAGAACGAAAGACCTAGTTGAATGAAATTGTGTATTAATAATAAAATCATAAAATATCCTGAGTTGGAAGGAACCCACAAGGATCATCAAAGTACAAGTCCTGACCCTTCACAGGACACCCCAAGAGTCACACCGTGTGCCTCAGAGTATTGTCTAAACACTTGAAATCTGTCAGACTTGGGGCTGTGACTACTTCCCTGGGGAGCCTGTTCCAGTGCCCAAACACTCTCCAGGTGAAAAAGTCTTTTCCTAGTATCCAACATAAACCTCCCTTGACAGAGTTTCATAATGTTCCCTTGGTGTCCTATCACTGAGCACCGTAGAGTAGAAATCAGTGTCTGCCGCTCACTGAGTTAGTTGTAGCTCCAATGAGGTCTCCCCTCATTCCCTTCTCCAGGCTGAACAAACCAAGTGACCTCAGACTCTCTTCATATGGCTTCCACTCAAGGCCCTTCACATCTTCATATCCCTCCTTTCAACACTCTCTAACAGCTCAATATCTTTCTTATATTGTGGCACCCAAAACTGCTCCCAGCACTTGAGGTGAGGTGGCCCCAGTACAGAGCAAAGTGGGACAATCCCCTCCCTTGCCCAGCTGGTGATGCTGTGCCTGATGTACCCAGGACAGGGTTGGCCCTCCTGGCTGCCAGGGCATTGCTGACTCACATTCCACTTTCCATTGACGAGGACCCTCAGGTCCCTTTCCGTGGTGCTGCTCTCCAGTGTCTTGTTGCCCAGGATTGCCCTATCCCAGGTGCAGAATATGGCATTTGTCTTTGTTCATATGGTTAGTGGTTTGCCAGCCCTCTAATTTCTCCAGGTCTCTCCGAAGAGCATCCGCACCTTTAAGGGACTCGATTTCTCCCAATTTGCTGTAATTGAAAAACTTGTTTAGTGTGTCTTAGTGCTGCATTCAAGTCATTTACGAAGGTGTTGATGACAGGGCCAAGGATGGAGCCCTACAGAACCCCACTAGTAACAGGTCTCCAATCTGATGTCACCCCATTCACTGTAACCCTTTGTGCCCAGCCAAGTCACTCTCCCATCCCATGATGTGTTTATCCAGCTGTGGGCTGGAAATTTTGTCCAGAAGGATCCTGTGAGAGACAGTATGGAAAGGTTTACTGAAATCCAAAAAGATTACATCAGCTGGCTTCCCTTGATCAGGTAGGAGGGTTATCTTGTCATAAAAGGAAATTAAGTTTATCAAGTAGAACTTTCCCCTCATGGAGCCATGCTAGCTGTGAGCAATGACTTCATTGTCCTTCATGTATTTTCCCTCTCAGGATAATCTTCTCCATACTTTTACTGATGACTGCAGAGACACCAACAGGCCTTATAATTTCCAGGGTCATTCTTCTTGCTCTTCTTGAAAACTGGAACAAGTCTCCACCTGATCAGTTGGAACTTAAAAGAATAGCAAAAGTCTCTTTCTTTTTTAAGGCACTGTAAACAGGTAAGAATGCAATCTCTGTTTTAGTGTACCATTTTAGCACTATAATCCTGCCAGCATTATACAATATACTTGTTGAGTTACATAGAAACAGTCTAGGTAGTAGACACAAGAGTTTGACATGTGGAGGACTTACAGCCCCCAGGTATGCCAAGAAAAAATGTTGTTATTATACATAGAACTACAAGGAAATTTACATTATCAATGAGGCAATAGCATGTAATGTATTTCAGTTCATAAAATTGACATTTTTAATAAAAGGTGTTAGTTTAATCTAGAGCATAACCAGACAACATAGGCAAATATTTTCCAATTCATTAGGCCACAGGTCCATAGCATGGAAATAAATTCTTCTGATGAGTCCTGTCACCACATTGTAATTCCAACACTGCCGTTTTCTGAAATTAAGCAGACCCATGCCACCCTTTTCTCTGCTGATGTAGCTCCAAGTATTTCATGTGAGTTTCTCAGGGCTGGCTGTGATGCTGCATCATAGTGGGAGCCATCTCAGAGGATGCACATAGGGAATGGAAGGGGTGTTTTGCCCTGAGTTTAAGATTAAGTCATAAGACATGAATCAGGAAAACATGCTATTTTCAGTTTGTCCTCTCTTCCAAGTAATCCTCTTGATGCCCACTCACACAAGCATATTTGTTCTGCATTTGTAGCACTATTAACAAGAGCAGGGTTTTGAGGATCTGAATATAAGCTGTGGATGCTGCCTTGATGAAAAGAAGAGAAAAGCAGAAAGACCCACGTAAGCACTGCAGCTTCTGTGTTTTTGGGAGGGACGAGTTCTATCATGTGCGGCCTGTTGGAGGAGTTTCCCTACTTTATTGTGCCAACTGGAAAATCTCTTACTGAAACTTCTGTCAATTTTCAGTATTACTACCAAAAATCAGTTGGCAGATGTAATGGTTTTTTTTGGATAATTGCTGTTCACTGTAGAACAAAAGATTTACATCATCTGCAAAAGTATCCCAGTTTCTAGAAAAGGAATTTTTTGTTATTGTTGACATTTTCCTTTCAGTCATTCATATTTATAAAGGAGTAAAATCTCTTGGCACAGCTTGCCTGGTGATTGCATTCAGGAGAGACATTTGGAAACAAATATTGCTAAGCTATAGCACTGTTGATACTGGTAAGTGAAGGTTGTCAGGTTGTCTCATCAGATGTGAAATGGTCAGAGGGGTGAGCACATCCCTTCCGCATTTCCCCTCTTTTTATGAAACAATCCATCATGAATTGTAGTACACTTTATTTAGCATAAATTATGGGAAATACAGCTCACTTGAGGGAAATGGACCACTCACCACTTAACAACTAAGATTAAAAAAGTACCTTTTTTTTGTGAGATCTGGCTAATAGTTGCACAGTGAATGACATCTTTGTCAGACTCATAGATACAATGTCTGCATGCTGGTGTTTGGGAAAACGTTTGCTTTCCCAAGACTCCACTTGGAGTGCTGCATCCATGTCTAGGGTACCCAGCAAAAGAAAGATCTGGACCTTTTGGAGAGAGTCCAGAGGAGACCATGAAGATGATCCGAGGCAACTCTCCTCCTGAGGGGACAGGCTGAGACAGGTTGAAAGAGCTGGGGTTGTTCAGGCTGGAGAAGAGAAAGCTCTGGGGAGGCCTTATTAGGGTATTTTCAATATTTAAAGGGGGCTTTTAAGAATTTTTTTACCAATGCCTGTAGTGACAGGACAATGGACAATGGTTTTAAACTGAAAGAGGGTAAAGAGGGCAGATTTTGTCGGTACATAAGGAAGAAATTTTTTTCATTGTGAGGCTGGTGAGAAACTGGAAGTGGTTGCCCAGAGAAGTTGTGGATGACCCATCTTGGAAGTGTTTAAGGCCAAGTTGGATGAGGCTTTGAGCAACCTGGTCAAGGAAAGATATCCCCACCCATTACAGGGAGTTTGGAACTAGATGATTTTTAATTTCCCATCCAACCCGAACAATTCTAATCATTCAAATAATTTTGTCATTCTATGATTTTATGAAAATCAGACTTTTCTTCCATTTATATCTGCAAGATATTGGGTCCAAAGGGAAAACCATGTGATCTAATACTGGGCACAGTTTTCCTCCCTTCTGCAGACCAATTTTCTTGGCCTTTATGTGAGTGCAGGCATGTTCTAGTGATTATTAGAGAAATGGTCCTAATTTGATATTAAGAGAGCAACTTTAATGGAGTGGAAACAAGAAATCAAGATGCAACAATGAAAGTTTCCTGGTGAATTAATTTGGAATTAGTCTTCCAGGGATTTATACTGTGTATACAAAAAGTAGCACCATATACACAAATTTTTCAATTACTATGTTTTAGCAACTATTAATATAAGAAGATTTTGCAAAAATTAGACAATTTAAATATACATTTCATGTAATTCTCTCCTATGGTTAGGAAATGAAAGAAAGTTTATGTGTGAAAGTATGGTTTCCCACTATCTTTTAATGACAAAAACCCTTGGATTTGGTTGCTGAACAAAATTTTCAGATTCAACAGTGCTAAATACTCTGCTCATACTTTTTTCTAAAGTGTTAAAAGTAAATATTGCACTTGAGGTAGATTTTTCCTAAAGGTTTGTCACAAGAGCTTTTTAATTTGCTCCATAATTTCAGTGCCATGGTAACAGAGACATAAAGATAACATTCTGTGGATCCAGTATTCACAGTGCTATGTTAAATAATATAATTATAATCCTCTTAAGTACTTCTTGCATAAATCTAAATAGCATTACACATATAGATTCTCCAGAAAGTATTGAAAATACAGTAAGTAGGCTTGCATTAGCTAGCCCACAATAGAATAGCCACGGAATTTTACACTACTCAGCCTAATATGAGTATTATTTACATTCTTTTGTTAAAGAGTAATTCACTATGGCTCCTGCTTAGCAGAATTCTTATGTGGAACCCTAATTCTTGCCATAGACTCTCACTAAAATCAGTGAAAGTATGCAAATTCTTAAAGCTCTGTACTTTAAAATATTTTCCTGATTCAGATTTATATACCTTAAAGCAGTAGAAGTCTTTTCACTGATACTAGCAATAACTGCGTAAGAATACAAAGTGCAATAATAACTATATTTTTACCATAAGTGGTAAGTAGGAGACCCTATACTTGTCTTACATGCCTATATTTTTCTGTTCAATTCCACTTTTTTTGCAAACAAGTTGGTGTAGCTGTGCTAATATTTTTTTTTTTTTGTGGGAACAGTTTCAAGGAAGGAGATCTTTAATTGTTCCCTCTTAAAGCAGTAATATGTACTTCCATCTTGAAGCAAGGAATGTCTGGTTTTTGTTGGTTATATTTTTCTATCCCCCAGATAACACAGAACCTTAAATATGCATAGGCATTATGTATAGTAATTAAGGTTTGCATAGTAGAGGGCATGAGTTATATATTCAGTTTTGCCACAAAATAGGAGTCCTTTTTTGCAAAGGAATGTCTGCATTTCCCCTATGTCAGTCTGGTTGAAGAGCATATGATTTTCTGTAATTTATGTGTTTTGGTGTGTGTTTTTTTTTTTTTTTTTTAATTTCATCTTTCTGGGATTGTTTTAAGGGAAGCTTTTCTATATTCTAGTTTTAAATGCTTTCTGGGAGAAACTAATAGGGTGGAAGAAGGAAGTTTGTATTATTCAGTAGCCAAAAGTAAACACAATTGGAAGTTTGTGGAAGGGCATCTTATTAGTCTGGGTCTTGATCCAGATTTGTTAGTGGTTGTTGATGTGGTGGTATCTCGTGTAGCGTCAGGCAAGTAGGTGGAATGGGGCAGGTGGTCCAGCTAATTGCACTAGTGCTTATCATGTCTTGCATGAGGATTTTTACATCAAGACACAGGATGGATCATTAGGAGTTTGGCAAGAGTGTTTTGTGGCAAGAGTAGCCTAGGAGGAATACCACTGTAATAAGCATAGCATAAAATATAAAGATAAGCAGAAAAGAGAGCTTACAATGGCAAAACACACTGTCTGTATCAGCTTAAACTTCTGAACCCACAGTTTGAAGAAATTAGAGCTGTAGTTATTATCTGAGATCTGCTTGGATCACTGAAATCTTTTACTACAATCTGTGTGCAGATAGAATTGTAATTTCTTTTCATCTAATTGATGATAGAAAGGAAATTTTGGGCCATGGTCAGGACATTTAGCTTGCTGGATTGTGCTCATTGAGGTGATTTCCTGATGTGAAGTAGTCGGTCATTTCAAATACCTTTGTCCTAGGGCGACATTATGATGCTTGTATCCCCAAATTTCTCCCAAATTTGTCCTAAACCACGACAACCTTTAACCTCTTACTATCACTACTAATTAAGAGGCGATTCAGTCATTTTGAGGACTTAAAAATATTTTGTGTATTTTGTAGTAAATTCTCAGCTCTGATTTTATCTCTTTAATCAAGCAGTATAGAGGGACCCAACCCAGATGTATGCTAGAAATCTTCTGCAGAATGTTACAGAGGCTTTTAGGAATCTCCAGCTTAGCAAGATCTGGCAGAACTTAAGTACAATCTCCATCCCTTTCCTAGGTGCCCATTCATGTGCCTCCTATAAGCCTCCACAATCCACTGTGCCACAGTTCAACAGCACATATTCATTCCACAATTCCTGCAATATATTTTTTATGCATCCTTCTCATGGTTTGTCAATGTCAGTTTTATGCAATGTATGTCTGTGATTCTAAAGAAAAGAATTGCTTAGTTCAGACTTATTTTCCCAGAAGAACGTTCCAATAAATGCGGAAAAAGAGCTTCAGTAGCAAGTCTTGCCTTTATCAGGAAATCTCATGTGGTGCTGCCATGGATGTTGAGTTTTTTAAAATCTTTTTTGTTACCTATTACTGATTGTGAGCATTCGTGTTCTGTTATTTTACTGCAGAGTTTTGAACAGTGCATGCTATCATTCTCAATATCTATAAAAACCTGCTTCTCAAGCAGTTCCTCATTCAGTTTTGAGGTTACATGGGCAGAACATAAGGTATCGTACAGCTGGGCCGAATATCATATGCACTGGACTGCTAGTTATTCCATATATTTAAGAAGTACATTGTCTATGTAATCTCTAAATTTCTACTCTTTCGTCCTCTTTCATCTTTTTGCAACCACCAACTCACTTCTCCTAGTTTTGATTTTGATCAATCATTTCTCTAATTACTTTTGAAGACTTAAGTTTGGACTTTTTTTCCTCTCCTCATTTCTTTTTCCCAGCTTTTTAGCTTTTGACACAGATCCTTTATTTATAGCCATCTACTTAATTTCATGTGATTTTAATGAAACCCATCTTGCACAGCTACACAGGAGTTTACAGCATTTATGACATTTTGACTTACTGAGATCATGAACAGTAATAGAGATAGTAGAATTATCAATACCCCAATGAAAACAACTGCAAATAGGAGGAAAAATGTGCAACAAACTGAACAACTGACTGCACTCCCCATCCCTTGTCCCTGACCTGAGCTTAAGGAGAGGCAGAGCTAATTCAAAACTGCAGTTGAACAAATAATCTGTGGAAGATAAAAGCAGTCCTTTGAAGTTATGAAATACAACTTATGCTCTTTTGTTTTCCTTTCTGGCTGTCTTGGAGGTAGTTCTCTCAGTTCATTGGAAATGGCTAATCTGCATGTTTTGGTATATGAATTTCTGGCAACAATGTTTTGCACAGTTATTTAAATGGAGAAAAAAGGTTAACCGAGTAACAGAATGTAAGAAAATTTTCCATTGATAGTACACACTAGACCCAAGCT